TGTAACGAATGTCTGTTAGAGCCTAAGTGAGTCACTTTGTCATAGTTTAATTTTCTGTCTATTCATACGTTGATCCATCCATCCATTAATTCATACCTGTGTGGAGAGGTTGAATGACCGGAGTATAAATCCAAGCACACAGCCGGTCACTACCGCAAAAACCGAGAGTGTCAGCAGACCATTCCTCTTGCAGTAGTCCTTCACGTACGCCCTGACTTTCAGAGACACTATATTTTCTAATAACTTCTGCAGACATTCCATCCTGATTCAGGCTCAGTCTGTATCCCAGCAAATCCCCCCCACCCCCGTCGCTGGCAGCAGATATCCGAATCTCTTGATGAGTGAGAATTGTCGGTATGTATCTCTCGAGATCCACGGCAGAGGAGAGCAGGTGTACCTGAAGAAATGTGGGTGCTGTTTAACTCTGAGGAGCTCATCCAGTCTGAAGGAGGAAACGTTGACTGACTTGTTCCTGGTAAAGCAGTGTCTAAAAGGATTATCCCTATCCCATGCGAACATAGTCTCCTTTAGAGACACTCAGGCTTATTAAAGAGGCTAAAGGTAAGCTCATTATGAGTTATTACTACCTGTGTCCAAGTCATCCCATTCACAAATGCACCTACATGTACTTTGTCATCTGCAACTTAAGCTCTTGAGCATAATGTAAGAATTACAGGAAGGTTTTATGAATTAATCGCAAGGTCTCTTTTAAATAATCCAGCAAAGATTTCTACTCATGAAACTTTTTTTTTGACTGAGTTATGACCTGTCCTGGCAGGATTACCAGAGGCAAGGCCAAAGCCATGACGACAGCATCAGCGCTCACTATTCAGCTATGACGTGAAACTGATTAACAGGTCTGGACATACACTGGGTAGCTTTAATGTCATGATTTGTCACTTAAACTAGTAAATAATACCATCTTGGTACAAAAAGAAGCTCAAATTAGTTTGAAGTTGAAGGCATGAACTTTAACCCTGCAGGCTGTGAAGGAAAAGATGACCACTCCCACGCTAGCATGGTTTACACACTACAATCTACACTGTTGTTCAAGCAGAATTAAATTTATAGCTAGTGACACCAGATTGATCATATAAAGAATCTAAAGGAAAAATATAAAGTATTGTCTTATGCAGTGGGAAACTAGTGATCAATACAGCTGAGTACTCTGAGCTGCCAGCTGTCTGTTGTAGTGTGCTGTTTGCATGCTGTTTTAATGCTTTTTGTTGATGTCTGCTAATCCTTTTAGTCCACACTGACCTGGAAAGAGATCCAAACTTGACACTGAGCATTCTAACAATGTCTGCCTACATCACCTTTAACCAGTCCAATAGCATTTAATCCTTGGACAATGCACGCAGTAAGATTAGTGGATGGAACAAACAGCAAACAAATACTTCCTACTTATCTATTTATCTCTGCTTTTAATTCTTAATCCTCCAGCCAAAAGCTCCAAATTACTTTCAAATGCATCATACACTAACATTAACAAACAATAACTATTATTCTTATTAAAAATATAATTTTAATTAAATATTTACAGAACCATCAGTGCTAAAACCTCAACGTGGGTGTAAAACCTATTATAAGTGAAGCGAATAGCAAACCACCCCTAGTGTCTGTGTATGAATTTGTTGCTTCGTTGTCACCACTTTATCACTATATAATTTAGAGAGATAACCTTTATCCTTTAAGTGTTTCTGATGTTGACGATAGAAATTACAACAGTTAAAAATATCTCAAATGAAATGAAATGCAAATCTTGTCAGAAGTTTCATAATTCTTTTTTTTAAGAATACATTGCAAGTTGTCACATGGGCTATAATTGAAGTCATCTGCAGTTGAAAGCAAACATACGTGATGTGATGTCTTAGATCTTTTCAGATGATCAGAACCAAATATTTAATTTAATGTATCTTTAAATAAGAAATGTATACTCAGTGAGGTGACTGCCAGCTCTGTGTTCAGTGGTCTGTGTCAGAGTTTCTTCCTCTTCAGCAGCTGCAGTCAGTTTCTGCCGTAACAGCTCAGTGTCTCTGCAGTCTGACTGAGGGAGGTTTTTGTACGACTACAAATCACTGTGTGAACACAT